ATAAGAGCCTGGCGATGACGGCTGCAGTACTGAGAAGCCCACAACAAAAAATCCACTGACAAACAAAATTTAAACGAAGGGGAAAAAGGAAAAAAAAAAACCTGAACAGATAGGTAGCAGCCCCACATTTAATAAAGTTTTCTCTGATTTTGTAGTAATAGTTTTTCCTTACTCTATGCATTGATTGTACTTGACCTCTCTCCCCCTAGAGTATCATCTATAAGAGGGTAAAGACAGTTGGTTGGTTCACTAGTTCGCTCATATGTTCATTTTTAGATGTATCTCCAGCATTTAGAACAATACCTCCAGCTAGTAGACACTAAAAGCTGCTGAATATGCATGAAAGCTTCCCTATCTGTGTCTCCCTGGTGCCCCCTAGACTCATGCTCAGAAGTTTGTTCCATAATAGCTTTTAACTCCTTGTCAATTTTTCAAGTGTTATATTGCAAATTAGTACTAAGAAACACTTGAGTTCTTGACTGGATTACCATATGATCTTTTTCTCTGAATTGAAGACAACGCGGTTAGAAAGGTACACTGAAATGTGGCAACATAATTAGTCCCTGACATTTTTAGCAGTATGTTCACAGCCCTTCACAATTCCCTCTAATTGTGGATTCCACAATAGGGTTTCTTTTGCTGTAAATGTCCTAAGTGGAGAGAAGCCACCTGAAGCTCCAGCTCCTGATGGGTTGACACAGCCGCATTATAAGGTGGTGCACACCCCAAGCCCAGTCACTCCCTGCTCTTCAGCGACATCACAATTTGTAGAAGTTCATCTACCAAGAACATCAGTTCTGTGAAAGCTAAGGGTCCACCAGATGATTTTATCCTATTTTTAAAAACTTTTAAAAATACTAATTTAAAAAAATTAATTCTCCCAGGTCATTCGGTTTGAGCTCTAGAATGTAAATATGTGTGGGCATGAATAAAACTAAATGGTGACTTGGGGCTCAAAACAAAATGAATGATCTTTTTTCATCATCATGATGATAATACATTTAAGAACACGTTTGCCAATTAAACTATGTTTAGACTGCAGGGGTATTGGTTATGTTCTCCGTGGTATGCAGTCATCCCCGCTGTCCTATTTCAATTTTTTCTATCACCCTTAACAGCTTAGTACCCTCCAAACAAGGACTCCTACTTTCCTTATCCTGTTAGGTAGCCAGCTAGGGCCAGGGGTGGGGTTCTCCCTCCCATGCCTGCAAAGGCCCTCATAAAGGAGGTTGGAAAGAAATCGGGCAGCTTTTGGACGCCTATGGGAAGACCCCAAACTGATCATGCACAGACTAGGCCCCCTTAGCACAGGTGAAACCTACGACCTAGCACCCACCTTAGGTACATCTCACAGGTGGACCTAACTCAACCAATGAGGTCAACCAATACATTTAACTATGCCTTTCCAGCCAGAGGTGTTAAAAGCCGGCTGCTGGAAAGCCAGTTTCTCTCTTTAACCCTGCTCCTGGTCAGCAGCAGGTGGAGGGTGAGAGTCCCCTGCCCCCGCCCCGGTGCACACACACCTACTCTGGGCGTACTCAGGGCCCACGGCCTCTGCCCCACATGCTCCTATCGTATCCTGTAGGATCTTAGGCTTCTGGCCTCCCGGGATCCCCAGTAGGTTCTGCACATGTGGGTATTCTTTTCCACGCGGTTGTTCTGTGCCCAGTTGTGAACCCCAGCTCGGCTTCCTCGCGGCTTGGCCATTTTCCAGAAATAGCATGCACCCTTTTGAGACTCTAAAACCTGAAACTTGTCCTGTCCTCCATAAAACCTCACTTGGGTTACAAAACGTGCTTTGGCGTGAATTCTTTTAGCATGGGAAGCCAAGAACTGAAGTAGTTACCCACTCCAGGAACCTAACAATCCCTTCCACTTGCCCCTGGTAACCACTAATAAACTTGATCCGTTTGCCTATTCTGGATACCAGTACCTACTAGTGGGGTTGTCGTATTGTGACCGACTTATTTTCTATAGCATAATGTTTACAAGGTTCCTTTGTGTTGCAGTGCATATCGGAACATCCTTCCTCTTTAGTTACCCAGTCTTCTGTTGATGTATTTTTAGCTCATTTCCATATGGTGGCTATTGTGAAAAGGACTGCGATGTCCATTGATGTACTGAGCAGCCATTGTTCATAGAGTGACTTTATTAAGTTGTTTTTACTTTCTGATCAAATTACAAGTAAGCCTCCCTTCGGTTTGATTTCATTTCTGGACTTACAGGAATAAAGTCTGAAAGCAAAAGGAAAGCACCTTTGATTTTTCTTTTCAGCTGATTTTTCAGTATACACGTGAGGGTGTGTAAATCGCCCATGGTCACGTCTTTTAAATGACGACGATCCCGACTTTTACCAGAAATGGTGGGAGTCAGGAGAACGAATGCTGCGGCCACAGAGACAGCTGGCCAGTGTAAACACCTCACCTGCCTTCTGTTTATTCTGTCTTTCAGGACAATTCAAACTGCTGGAACAGGACCGAGATATAAAGGAGCCAGTGCAGTATTTCAACAGCGTGGAGGAGGTGGCGAAAGCATTTCCCGAACGCGTGTACGTCATGGAGGAAATAACATTCAACGTGAAGGTACCTCTTGAAAAATCAAATATTTATCCTCACTCAAATCATTGAACTTTCCAGTCAGGAAGTGCACAGCTGCCCTTCCCAGGAGAGTTTCTCCCTTTCCAGCGGGATAGCGTCAGTGACCAAGACTGGCCTTTTTTTAATCATTTTATTGGGGGCTCGTACAACTCATCGCAATCCATACATACATCCATTGTGTCAAGCACATTTTAAAATTTGTTGCCATTATCATTCTCAAAACATTTTATTTCTACGTGAGCCCTTGGTATCAGCTCCTCAATTTTTCCCCTTCCTCCCCATTCCACCCTCCATCATGAACCCTTGATAATTTATAAATTATTATTTTATCATGTCTTACACTGTCTGATGTCTCCCACTTTTCTGTTGTCGGTCCCCCAGGGAGGAGGTTATATGTAGATCCTTGTCATCGGTTCCCCCTTTCTACCCCACCTTCTCTCCTCCCTCCCTGTATCGCCACTCTCACCACTGGTCCTGAAGGGATCATCTGTCCTGGATTCCCTGTGTTTCCACTTCCTGTCTGTACCAGTGTACATCCTCTGGTCTAGCCAGATATGTAAGATAGAATTGGGATCATGATAGTGGGGGAGAAGAAGCATTTAAGAACTCGAGGAAAGTTATATGTTTCATCATTATTACCTTGCACCCTGACTGGCTCATCTCCTCCCCGCTACCCTTCTGTAATAGGGTGTCCAGTTGCCTACAATGGGCTTTAGGCCTCCACTCTGCACTCACCCTCATTTACAATGATAGGATTTTTTGTTCTTTGATGCCTGATACCTGATCCCATCGACACCTTGTGGTCATACAGGTTGGTGTGCTTCTTCCATGTGGGCTTTGTTACTTCTGAGCTAGTTGGCCGCTTGTTTATCTTCAAGCCTTTAAGACCCCAGACGCTATATCTTTTGATAGCCAGGCACCATCAGCTTTCTTCACCACATTTGCTTACACACACATTTGTCTTCAGCAAGACTGCGATTTTCTATAGCTGACTGGACTCCCTGAGAACTTACCTTGTTAAAAGTAGTGTTTCTTATTCTGTTTTGCTGTGTCTTTTCTTGTTTGTTTGTTTGCTTTTTTGTTTTTGTTTGGGCTAGAATTTAAAGTGAATGTTTGAGTTAAAAATATATAACTGTTAAAGGGTAAATTAAACTCCTTGCTTTTATTTTAAGGGAGGTAAGTAGGTGTGTGTGTGTTTAATTTGGATTTTTATTCCCTAATATCTAACAGTCGTTTGGGTTTATGTTCTGTGACTGTGATGCCTCCACTGTCAGGCGCAAAACATGTGATACAATGGATAATGAACACTTAGGCTAAAGAGGGTAAAAGAGACTTCCGGAGCATGCCCTGAGCACATGTTCAGTCCAGATAGTCTTTTTGACTATCCATATCCGTATGCAAGGACAGGAAGGTTGTACAGTATTTTGCCCAATAGATCGTTCTTAATCTTCGTTTTTCAAAGAAAAACCAAGTAGTGTTCACTGTGCTGCCTGTGTAGTGTGTTCTTAAGTGAGTGCCTTTGACTCCACTCGCCGTTCAAAAGGGACCAAGCACAGAGACCAGGCCACCAGATAGTTCCAACCTCATTGCCTGCACATCCATTGCGTTTTCTGCAGCTGCACTGAAACTACACTAAAATATTGCAAGTGTGTTCACACTGAAACAGATTTTCTGTTTAACCTCCTTTCTGCAGGAAGTCTAACTAAGTTGGACTCTGAAAATTTCCAGAAATCAAGGTTTAATTTAGGAAGCAAGTTTCCTGTTTCTTAGAAATCCACGCTATGTGAAAAAAAAACAGACTGCGGGAAATTGGCCCAAGAATGCAAACAGTGTCTCCGTGAATGAGTCAGCCATCCACCCCCAGCCCTCAGCAAAGAGGGAAATGCCAAGACAGCCTCCTTATGGGAGAAGCAGTTCTACGCTCTTTATGGGCTAATCAAAGCCATTCTTTCTTCTACTTCTAAGATAGAGATGCAATTATCATCTCTCTTTGGTGTTATCATTAAGATAGGTATGATTTGTGTTTTGTAAAAATTTTGTTAATGAGGGGGTTTAAGTGGAGAGAAAATGTTTTGAGAATGATGTACAAATGCGCTTTACACAATTGATGTGTGTATGGATTGCGATAACAGTTGTATGAGCCCCTAATAAAATGTTTAAAAAATTTTTTGTTAATGAAAGTATGGTTATATGCAAAAATATTGATCGTTTTAACTCCTTCAGTGGGCCAGGACATGAGTCATCCTGACAACTTGAGTCAATTACAATGAACGTTGGTGAGAACATGTAGATCTTAAAACGAACTGAGCCTCATTGGCCAGCAGTTACTCAGTCCTCTTCTATTGGTTTCTTGATTGGCTTTAAATCTCTCCTGAAGTTTGCATTTAGAAATACCAAAATGGGCTGGGGGAGGGAGAAGGGGAGAGGTGTTCATTGTTTACAAGCATAAAAGTTTTCCGATTTCCTCACGTTCAATATATTTTAGAGATACCTCTAGTAGCTAATATATGTATGGATGGTTTTGTGATCTATCAGCAGTGATTCAAAAGATAAGACTGCCTTTTGGTAGTTCTGTTTTGTAACAGGAGCTCATAAATGAATGATCAAGTGGTACTATGACAGAAAATACCACAAGTGATTGACTTTATCAAACAGAGATTATTCTCTCCCAGTTCAGGAGGCTGGAAGTCCAAATTCAGATTACCAGCTTCAGAGTAAGGGTATCTGGTTCTGGGTTTCCTGGTTCCAACTTGCCCAGTGTAGGCACCCTGGTCCAAAAGCTAAGTTCTTCTTCTCCCTCAGTAGAAACAGGTGTTGTGCTCTGCTCCCGCTCGTTTCAGATTAACGGTATTACAGGCCACACCCCAGGGCAACTCCTTACATCAAATGAGGGCTGTGTTTCGTCCCCCTCTTAGTACCTTCTTCATCTGATTGGTTTATCCCATCATGGGGGTCATTAAGTAACTGCCCCATTGTAGCACTGCATGACTGCCAAGCCAGAGAGTCATGTCCCAGACAAGTTAACACATACTTTAGGAGGACACAGTTGGTCCATGACAAGAGTATTCGTTAACAATGTTTGTTATAGAGATGCCATTTAAGAATTCATAGATGAAGATGTATATTGAATGCTTATAGCATCCGTAGAGCTCATTGGAATTTGGGACTTCCTGTTCTTTACATACATAAATATTTAATACCTCTAGTCTTAGTTGTAAAGTGTTAAGATGGTATTTTATCCAGCTTGCGCTAACTAATAAGATAGATTAATAATAGAAAGCTCAGGAAATTTACATCAAGGAATATTACAGAATTTGGTGTTCTTCATAGATAAATACTCAAGTCAATAAACTGAGGAGATACAGGCAGAGAGAGATCACAGGAAGCATTGTACTTCAAGATCGACCTTGAGATGTTCTTTTTGACATTGAATGCAATGCCATTCTCCTTGAATTTGTCATTCCCAGAATAATAAACCATATGATTATCCAATTCAAAATGGCCAATACCAGTCCATCCAAATAAGCTAATACCTAGGATATTGATCTTTGTGTGGTCCATCTAATTCTTGATGACTTTAAATTTTCCGAGGTTCATACTTAATACATTCCATGATCCAATTAATAGATGTTTGCAATTGTTTCTTCTCATTTTGTGGCATGCCCTATCAGCAAACGAAGATCCTGAAAGCTTTGCTCCATCCACATCATTAAGGTCAATTTTACTTGGAGGAAGCCATGTTGCCCCTGTTATTTGGGATGCTTCCCATCCTAGTGGCTCATCTCCGGCCCTGTACCAGACAATGTTCCACTCCTGTTCAGAAGTGGAGCCCCTGCCCCACCTTACTCTGCAAACTCCATTGCAATCTGTTCACCATGGGTAAGCTTGCTGCTATGTGATATCCCGATGCCATAGCTTCCAGAGGCTCAGCAATGGGTAAGCCACCACAGTATGACACACTGAGTGATGGGTGAAAGAAGCACTCCTATTAACTTTAAAAAGGGGTTTTCTATTTGTCTTTATTTAGAAGATACCTTACTTTGTTTAAAGTATTATTGATTTGATTAATTACATGAAATTCATATATAGTGTTTACATCTTTAGGCAGGAAATATACCTTGAGCACCAACTGTGTGCCCAGTGCTGTTCTAGGCACTATGTCGAACCCTCCCAATATGCCCATGTCTACAGGGGCAGATCTATACTATCCTATAGGGTGTTAGGAGTTGAACCAGCTTGATGGCAGTATTTTGGGTGGGGAGGTGGGTGGACAATAGGCAGACAGGCAGACAAATGAGTGAAGGTGAGAAGAGAGGAAAGAAGGATCAATTACTTCCCGGGAGAAGAGAGTTGGATATACACGCCTGGAACTTGCTGAAAGGTGTAGACATTGAAGTTCGTCTTCTAGGTGGCATTTGAAGTCCCAGAGTTGGATCGGTTCAAGTGCATCGGGGCCTCTCATTCAGGCCTTTGTCTCCTGGTTTTGTTTTTAACCCAGTGGACATTTGGGTACTGTCTAGAGGCAGTTTGATTGTCATGACTGTTACAGCATAGTGGAGTAGTTGCAACCGAGCCCATTTTGTTCACAAAGCCTAAAATACAGACTGACGGGCCCTGTAGGGGGAAAAAAGTTTGCCAAACCCTAATTCTACTAAAACAAAAAAAATTTTAATAAATTTCCCACCCCAGAGTATTTCACTTCCTCCTTGTTCAGTACTTTATATTCATTCATCCTAAGGACTCGGTGCCTAGTGTCGGGTTCGGTTTTCAAAGTTCACCCTTATTTTCCTGCGTTTTTGAAGACTTAGAACAGCAGTATCTAGTGAATGATTTTTAAAATAGGTTCCACCCATTCAAATCCAGGCCTGTAATGATAGACATTTTCCCATACGTGATTTTCTTCCATCAAAAATAATCACTAGCCAGGTTACCGGTGACTTTCTGTCTTTCCTGTGACGGTTCTGGAGAGAGAGAGGGGAAAGGCA